ACGGCCGATGAGGGACACCGCGGTCTCACGATTCTCGAACACCTCGTCGTTCACAGCGATGAACAACGACCGCACATTCTCAGCTTGTGCCAGATGTTTGTCGAAGCGCTCGTGTAACGACGACAGAACCGTCTGGCGGATACTCGCGTCTGGAAGACATAGTTAGTCGCGGAGTCTGGCAGGAGAGGTTAAAAGGCTCGCCAGGGTCGGCAATGGCGACTGTGAGAAGCTTGTCGATCACGTCGCTAATGATCTCAATAGAGTGGTTGCTGGCCTGATAACATATTGGGTCGCGCACAAACAAGCGGCAGCACGTAAGCGCAGCCGCACGCCGCACTTCCGCGTGTTCCGAATCGAGATACGGCAGCGCACAGTCGTGAACGAACTCGTTAAGGACATGTCCTACAAATGATTGTTAGCGATAAGTTGCTTCACTTTCACTCTTGATTACGCCTACCACTGAAATCAAACGTGTATAGCGTTGTCAGGGCGAGCGTGAGCGTCTCCGGTACCTTCTGCGAGTTCACGGCCTCAGGAGGCACAGCATCTTTCTTCATGCCCCCCGAGTCACCACGCAACAACGAAGGAGGTTGTCCCAGTGGCCTATATGGCTGGTTGTTGAGGATGTACGACAATGTGTCCAATAGTCGATCTGATGAAGGGGCTCAGCGTGACTTCGAAGATCGCAGAAAAGTGAATAATTCACCTTGGATTGTCTTCAACAGAGGCGGTATATGTGTCGCAATAGCCACCAGTGCTTGACGAAGAGGCTCGCTGAGTCCGTATGCAAAGATAAGGTCGAGTTGATCATGAAGTAGCTTTGTCAGGTTAGGGCCGACAGCGGCCGCAAGCATACCAACGCATTGGAACATCGGCTCTTCTGAGGGCGCGGTCTTCTTCCTGTTCCAGAACAATATGTGAAAAAGGACATTAGAAGAGTTGCAATATACCTACCCCCTCATCTGTAAACCCTGCTTTATTTGCGTCATGATAGACTCCAAGAACGGCTTCATATCGCTGCCCACAGCCGTTGCGACATGACCGATAGCTATGAATGCAACAGAGCGCTCGGGGGGCTTCTCGAGCTGAGTCAGAAGGTGAGCCATCGCCTTGTGCAGAAAATGTTCCGAGAATGTCGAGGTATCGTATACGGCCAGCGTTGGAATAAGAGTGATGACCATCTTCCTGACAAGCGGGTCCCGGTGTGTCTTGAACGAGAGTATTTGCTCCGCAGCATCAAGGAAGGTCTCCTTCATGAACTATGGTGACTTACGCTTAGTACACATCCTCCCAGACGAAGAGCTCTGGCACATACCATGCCGCCATGTAGCAAAAGTTCGCGGTAAGTCAACAAGGAACCGTGAATGATCTCGGGTTGGGACATCTTCAGGCCCATTTGCGCATCCTGCAATATCTTGATATGGAACGGGCTCCGTATTTGCCGCTCCCGTTGGGTTATGATCTCCAGACAAGCGGCGAGAAGCTCCGCTGCGCTCTCCCGCACGATCACGCGTGCATCTCGCAAAGGGACAAGAATCTTGTCGAAGACAAGGCCAATGTGCGAATGAAAGTATGTGGGGCTATTGCGCGCAAGTTCCTTTAGAATGAGGACACCTGCGTATCTTCCCGGTTCCTGCTTGTCGGCTTGAAGCAAGGAGATGGCTGACTGAACTTCGAAATCCATGAAGTAGTCGCCAAATGCTGGGCCACTGATTTCGGCAATCTGGCCGAGAGTCTTGGAGGCCGCGAGCATAACGTTGACATCGGAATCTGGGAGGAGGGCCTTGACATAGTTGTAGAGTCGGAAGAGGTTGGTCTTGGAGTCGATCTCGCCTTCCACTCTGAGCAGGTGATCTACAGCGCCGTGAGAGACATGCGGAGAGAGGCTGTAACGAACGCACCGATGGCCAATATACCGCCTAGTTTATCCGCCGTAGTTTGGCTGTGAACAAGGTCGAATATTTTGTTGATGATCTCTTCCCATAGCTTGGCGGCCGCGTCGGATGAGAGCTCTGGTACGGTGTTGGAGATCTATGGAGCATTAGGGAGAGTGAAGCCCGAACAACACCTACTCACATAACGCTGTAAGTCAAGTGCTGATTGTGCTTGGACTTCAGGGCTTTTGCTCCTGAGTCCGAGGAATAGCTGATCCAGGACATCAACCTGGGAGGCGGGTGCGGGGGTCGCCATGGCTGGTCACCGCACGCGAAGACCCAATTAGAAGAACGCCGGCTAGTCGGACCTAGATGAAGGGGTGGTATACGGACGTCTGAGCTTACGCTGAGAGTCTCTGAGTCTGACTAGCTGGGTGGCAGGAGCACAGGCATCCGCGCACCCGGGAGCGCAGATATCACAACAGAGGACGCGCTCCCCACGTGCTTAGAGATTAGATTAGATCTGTCTACCTTCCACCGATGATTAGATCCAGTGCGTCATCGACACGGCCTGGCTTCAGCCACCGGGGCCTTGCCCATCGCTGCGCATCCCCATCTCTACTCAACACCTCCATCTTCACTCGTATTCTCGCAGGACAGAGAGGCCGCAGTGATGGTCTCGCGATGTTTTCTGGCTGAACTTCCTGTCGAGCTCTTCCTCGACGGCATCTTCCCGTATCTTCCCGTTACCGATCTCGTCCACCTGGGGTCAACGAATCGCTTTTTCGCAGATCTCGCAGATGACGAGGCATACTGGCATAGGCGTATCCAAGAAGACTTTAACTTCTCAGGCTCTGACACGGCGCGCCAGACTGGCTGGAAATTTCTGTACAAGCGGCTCAGCCACCCTCAGCTCTACGTCTGGGGGTACGTTTGTTCCAGCATCAGTCTGCGACCAACTCTTCCCTAAATGACATGTGTTCAGTGAAAAGAGCCAGAGCCGACTAGGCCTCAGCAACACGCCGAAGACTTCCGTGAGAGATGGCGTTCCCTATCCCACTAGGCTGGACATCCCAGGCGTCCGCATCGTCAGTCTGGTAGCCGGCGGAATGTATGAGCAGATCATCGCACACATAGCGCGGCTGCTGAGGCTCTCTATCCTGCAGGTCTTTCCACGCCATAGATTCTCGTGGAGACATCTACGTGTGGGGTTGGTGTCATCGCGCTTCATCCAAGGGTACCATCTGACTCCTTGCCACAAGGGGTGCTCAACGGTGAAACGTTTGCTCTGAGAAACGATGGTTTTGCGGAGCCGGGCCAGAAAGCCGACCGTCCCATGAGACTTGATCTACCTGCCAAATTTCGTAGCCTAAGGTAGTAGTCCTGCTAGCACGGGTCGGACACCACCACTAATTCTACGGTTCCCCCTAGCTGTGGGAGACTGCACACCACAGCGCTCGACGCCGCGTTGCACATATGGACCTTCACCTCCTGGGGACGCCCATTCCGCCTCAACTCCCCCGCTGTGGACAAATCCTCTCCTGATTCGACGCCGGTGCAAGTCGAGAGCGGATGGTCGTTCTCCTCCATTCTTACTCAATCCGGTGACGTACTCGTCTACTGGCCGTTCGGCGGCACCTTCAAGACCATAATCGACCAGAAGGAGACCGAACTCAACGGAATCGAGGACCCGGCACAAAACATCGCAGCCAAGGCGCGTGTTGATCAAGACAAGCCCCGCATCGTCCCCTGCCATTGGTGGGACTTCCATGGCGCGGACCCCGTACGACTCCCCCATATACCTGTTCACGACCTCCCGGTACTCCACAAGACAGGCCTTCCGGCAGAGCAGCTCGATGAAGAAACTAAGCTTGTCAAGATTGCTGGCATAGATAACTGCATCATCGGGTTAACAAACAAAGGACACGTCTTGCGCTATGACAGTCTGGCCGGGGATCATACATATCAGCAAGGGCACTGGGAATATGTAGGAGATATATCAACATTTCAATTGACGCTTTTACTCACACATGCACAAAGATGCCCTATTTTAGCTCCGTGGAGAAGCTTCAGGAGCATGCAGTCTACAGAGCCCTCGACGGCAGCGATGCTCCGCAACTCCTCCCCCCCGCAACCATGCACATTAACCATGTACGCAGTAATCGTCCACTATCTTTACTCACCTCTAACTCACAAATTTCCCCCAGATTTCAGGCTCCTTTCAGACCTTCTTCGCCTACTCCACAGGCCCCAGCTCCGTTGTACTCATGGGGAAAGCAACCGACGAATCCCCCTCCACCACGCTCCCCACCGTCATACCCGAGCTGCAGGACCGCTCCGTGATCTCCGTCGTGCTCGGCGACTATCACTACGGCGCGCTCACTAGCACGGGCACGCTGCTTACTTGGGGGGCGTTCTCGAAGGGCGCGCTCGGTCTCGGAGACCCAACACACGTCACGCTCGGCGAGCCCGGCGGGTACGCCAACGCGGAGCAGCTCCGCGAGTCCGTGCACGTGCGCTTCGGCGTGTCGCGCCCGCCGCCAGACGTGCGCGTCCCGACAGAAGTGCGGTTCGACTACGAGCAGGGTCGGAAGCGCGAGAAGTACTGCTTCGGTGCGGCCGCTGCGGGGTGGCACACCGGTGCGCTCGTCATTGACCTCGACGTGCGTGTTTTTCCTCGTGCCTTTTCTCCCCGGTTCTCACTGGCGTTTGGTCTGTGTAGCCCGACGACGAGAGCGGCGACGACGGCGACGTCGAGAACATGCCTGGCGCGTTCCCCGATCGAGACAGCCCCGAGCCAGGCGAACCGGCTCATGTACCCCCACACGGTCTAGGCGGGGGCTTTGGCGCATTCCGCATAGGATATGCGGGACGGGGGATGAATCGCGGCAACGCGCTGAACAGGCGCGGCCGTCCGCTGTGAAGGTCTGACAACAACAGTGGTACAATATGGTGAAATGAGGTGTGCTAGTCAGTACTTGTCTCAGAGTAAACCATCTGGCTGTAGCTTTGTAATTGTATACGTTGGTTCTCCTGTCAATTGATCGATCCTCGGATTCTCGATGGGAGACCGTGACTCCTTTGGTTTGCGCGCAAAAACACGAAGACACAGATTGACAAAACAAAGGGCCTGGCCGGGAATTGAACCCGGGACCTCCTCCAAATTGCTTGCGCCCTAAGAAGGAATCATACTACTAGACCACCAGGCCTTGTTTGATCTCCCTTAGAATAAATATCAGGATGATGCTGTTGGATATGTTCAACAACCACGAACTTCAATGACATTCAAGGTGGCTTGAACACTGCGAATCTGCATGAGAAAGCCCACTGTGTACGTGCTGGAATATAAACACCTCCATGTGCCCCAAGCGGCAGGTACGATTCAGCCCAGAATTACCTGCCGCCCAGCTTGCGATCGACTCACGACCTTATTCAGACAATGAGGCTCGTGTCCTCCATCTCCACTACATCCATCGCTGCGGCATCCACAAACACGTCCCTGCCACATGCACTCACGCCACCCCATCCATGTGTCGGCCCCGGGCACCACCGTCACGTAGATGTGTTCTGACGCTCACGGCGGCGGCGACGACATACGGTGGCGGCCCACAGGCCCCCTCCGCGCTCCACCTGCACAATTAAAACCGTCAGAAGCATACGTCGGAGCCCAGACGACACGCCGCCCAGAGCCCCGACTCACGAGCGAAACCACACTGGCGCCCCCAGGCCCTCTGTCTGGGCCGCACCTGCCCCGTACGTCGGCCCTGCCGAACGCAGCGGCGCCCGGCCCCGCACGGACCTCGGGCCTGGCAGCGTGTTGCGTGCGCGGACGCGCAGGAGCGAGGGGGGGCAAAGGGAAAACTTCGCGCACGGCACAACAGGTTCCGGGGATGCGGTGGCTTGCCAGGCGCAGGCGTGAGCGGCGCGGGGGAAGATTTCTGCAGGGCGTACGGATGACCCGGGGCGTCGACGGCGCCCGAGACTGCGTGAGCGCGAACGAGCGACCTGAGATCGTTTTCATGCTTGGGCCGGAAACGGACCTATGTGATAGGAACATGTTCAGCATATGAATGCGAGTGTCATGATCTCGACTCGATTGACCGCTCACCCTGGAGCTTGCGATCACTTGTATTCTCCAAACGATACCCCGGGGTATCTTTTCACCCCGAACATCCGCCTTTCGACCGGCCGTTGTCGTTCTTCCACCGTCAAGCATAGTCCGGTAGAGCCGTAATGAGCATGTGGACTAGTGCATAATTGCAGAAGCATGAAGGACGTACGATATTGCAAGGTTCACGGCCGTCACAGGAAACGGCTTGTCCCAGCGGGATGCATCCGTCCGACGACGGCGATTGCGCGAAGCCGCGATGTCGCGGAGAGTAATGTCAGCACGTCCTACCCGCTTTCAAATTGTCTGCCGAGCAGATGGAGGCAATACGCCTCAAGTCGCGGGCGTTGTCGCCCATGTCCGCGCAGCCGCCCCGATGGTCGTGCGGCGTGGCGTCCGGAAGGCACCTGGACAGCTTGCAGATATTCCATGCAGGCGCAGCGTCGATAAGGGCCCCATTTCTTTGTTCTTCTGAGCGCATCGCCAGTGTCAGATTATGTTAGACGATCGTGATCGATTGGCAGACGCACCTCGCCGCGCCTCTTGAACATTGCTGAGACGTCAAATCCAGGTCAGGTGGAAGCAGACCTGACGCCACAATGTCAATTGCGAGATGTGAAGGCGCCTTCACAAGCAATAAGGCAAAATGTTATTATACATGGCAGCAAGAATATTCAGAACTTTCGGAGGAACGCCCGCAGCGTCAATTGTGAGCTTTGGCATCGGTCACGTTGTGAGATCCCGTCCTGGCGAGATGCAGTTTTTGCGCGTAGCAGAATCTCTGCTACTCGTCCACACTCAGACGGGACCACCACGCAAAATCGATACGCGACGGTATACCTACATAGCTTGACTCTGATCGACAGGACGCATCCAGGACGTCGTAACTGTGCGGAATTCTGCGGCGCTAGGACACCACGGGCAAAACCTTGATTGACGGAATCTACAGCGGCTTGATATTGCTGAATGTGTCAATGTCCGATAGTGCATGAAGAGTGCCGGCTCTAGACATATGATAACACGTCAGTAGTGGGCGTGCGGGAACAAGGCGGCTGATCAGCAAGTCTGGTATTTCGGATCTGGACGTGGACAGGTAAACTCACAAGCTTAACGGCCGGCATGTGGTGAGAGCCTGCTAGGCCCCGACGCAGACAACATGTAGGGAATACGAGGACTCTTCTGAGAAGATGGTAAGCAGGCATGCGCTTGAAGCATGCCTTCGGGCTGCGATCTTTGTTGGAGGACTGTTTGCAAGGTCAGATCCGGTGTCTCGGTGTGACGGAAAAGGAATACGAGACCTAAAATATGTGCCCTAGCGAACGGCTAAACAGCGGAGAGCAATATTGTGCCTACTCCGCTCAATAGAATTCATGCAGGTACCTAGATGGCCACGCGGCATGGTGGCTGCCGATTGGTGAAGAAAAATCGGCGACAAAAAGCTGGCCGATAAATTATGGTAAAGCTGCTGTGTTTTACTGGCAGTGCGGACGCAATCGGCCGCTATGTATCGTACGACGAGGTGGGGTTGGCCAGGGTGTGTACACGAGCATGAGCGGCGTGTAGCGGCGAAGATACCGTCGGGTGCAGCAGCTTGAGGCGGTTGTGGAACACCACAAAATGTTGGAGGTACTGCCCAGCACGGTCGACGGCGTGGGGAGGACGGTGTATGGTGCATAGAGCATTGGTAATTAATGGGAGTCGGAGGTGCTGTTGGACGTTGGGGGAGAGTGGGAAGATCGGATCGAAGGACCGCGCAGGCCGCTCTCAGTCTTCACGCGGCGTTCCAGTCCATCGGCTTCTGTCTGTTCCAGAAACCCGATGGCCCGATCCGTGGCCCCGGGTCGGGCTCGCGTGGAAGAGGCAAGAGGCAGGAATGCAAAGATGGTTCTTCTTCCCTGAAACGTGATGCGAAGACAGTCGGCTTCTGGAATTCGAGAAGCTGCCCCCGCAGATCAGCGCGCGTCACACGCGCTCGCCCGATGGCCTGCATCATTCCAATTTCCCTCCTCGACCACGCCCGCCTCGGATGCGCTCCCTCTCCCGCCTGTCGCCCGCCCCACGCTGGCTGATACGGCCGGCTTGCACTCGGCTCTCGGGCGAGCTCGGAGCTTGCAAACCGCCGCACCCCGACGCCCGACCGCTGGGCGGGCACGGCGTGACCGGTTGACCACCGGGCGAAGCGCCACCCACGGTGGAGTCTGACGCATCTCTGAGCTTATTTTCCGCGCCTGTTATGGGTCTGCAGGTGGTCAGGGAGACTGCCGCGAAGCAAGGGAAGAAGAGAAAACGGATAGATGAAACCCACGTCTGGATGCAGCCCCCGCTCTCTGTTTGACGTCCCCATCACGCCGCCGCGGCCGCCTCCCTTCCACGCCGCCTTCCCATCTGCCACTCTTCCAATGCATCGATATCTTCTACCACGGTCTGAACCTCCGTGATCTCTCCTACCGTAACACATGCATTCCGTTCCTCTCGGCAATCGAACATCCCGAATAAGCCACACCTGTCGATGCCAGTTGCGGGGACAAGGATAGACCACAGAATGCGAGCCGAGCAGTGGCGTTCCCGCCAGAGACAATCCGGCACGACTTCGCTCTTGATGCTGGGGCTCGAAATACGTCATGGGGTGAAGACAAAGTAAAGCGTGCCACGAAACCTGTCAGAAACCGATCGCGTGCATACAAAACATGGCATGTCTCCTTCATAGCATCGGCTGCAGCTGGCGACGTTCAGCAGGTTTCTTATTTCTGTTTCAGCACCCTATATATACATGGGCCTCCGGAGCCACTTCCCACCCGCGTCCTCGAGCCAGCTCGCATGCCAATCTGCTTCGATATTTACACCACTAGTCCAGACTTACACTCATACGCTACCTTTGCAATTCGATTACACTGTTGCTTACCATACATCACTTCCAGCATCCCAGTGGGAGATAATACGGCCTCGCACCTCATCTAGCTTCTCTGATGGCCTTCTTGACACAGGCCTTCCATACTTGTGCGCAATGCCGTTATTGCGCTGCGCCTTCCCACCCACAACTTGCAGAACCACGCTCCCTTCGAGGTCCACAGCGCACATCAGAGCACAGGACCGTATCGTCGTTAAAAACAGTGACATTACAATCACTCTAGGGCATGCTTAAGTCTTAAGGAGACGGACCTACCTTTCAGCGACCAATGCTCGTCTGAAGCCCTATGCGCAGGTACGTACTACTGGCTACACAATCGCTGTGTATCTGGGATCTCCCTTTCACTTCCCTGACGTTAACACGTTTCTATACAGAACCACTCCAAAATCCATCGTCACCGGTCAGTTTACTCGGACAAACCGGCTCTTACATGCGCTGATGTCACCTTTCATCCATATTCGCGACATAACGACAAAGCAGGTGGGTAGAAAGCTTGCGCACCTTTGTTGGAGCCAGCGTAACTGCATACGCGAGCACGCTGATAGCGGCCGCATGCGCGTATATTACACCGAAGACGTATATCAAGCACTCAGAGTCCCAATCGATGTTCTCTTTCTTCAATTCCTCCACCTACACATCGCACCTACCACTCTTCTTGTGTCATCTTGGGTCTCCGTGCACATTCCGTCCCGGAACCAATCCCCAAGAACCCCGAATGCCTGTGCTTCCTCTTCAGCACTGTCGCGCGCACTGTGATGTAAAACCTTTCTCCTCCGTCTCCGGGCGAGGTGATCAGTTGCTCGCGTGCTTCCCATCTGCACGTTGATGACGTTCTACTGCGCTCTCGTTCAATCTCGAGCCTCGAGGATTCCATGATTAAAAACTTCTGAAGGGGTTCTGAATACCCGGAACGAGTCTCCCTGATTCACTAGCGCTCGGTCACACTTGCCGTGCTTCGCGCTTATTGTTACCTGTGCTTCGCCGCCTTCCCTGAGCGTTCTCGAGCTTCTTCTTACTTCTTACTCCTCGCCCATCCCCTTTCATCTTTCCCTTTCCCGTGGTGATGTGGTCCTTCACTTAATTCTCTAGCAGAGACTTGCTTTCCTGCGGACTCCATACCCACCTTCTGACCAGACCCATACATGCACATCCCACTCTCGACCCCTCTATTGCCAAAGCCATCCGCTTCGGGG